TGGAAAAGTAGCAGAGTGTTCCTTGGTTATTGAGCAGTACAGCATCTTAGAACTTGTAAATAAGGAAATAAAGGTTCTGAGAAGAAATTGGCAGTCTTGCTCCCATGTGTTTTCTATAACCATTTGGAGACCAGTCTACAGAACTTTCCATTTTCCATCTGGAAACGTCAGCAATGCTACTTCTTCTTTTGCAGTGATTGGGTCCATTGCATGAAGAGGTCCATTCAAGTGAAGTTGCATTCTTCATATTTCTTTAAAGAGCTTAAAGTTGATACACACTAAGGCAAATACAGGTTCTGTGGACTTGTGGCAGGGATTTGAAAGTGATTAAAGGGGGCACAAGGCATGCATGCGCATTATATATATATATATATATATATATATATATATATATATATATTATATATAGATATATATATATATATATATATATATATATATATATATATATATATATATATATATATATATATATATATATATATATATATATATATATATATATATATATATATGTCGTACCTAGTAGCCAGAACGCACTTCTCAGCCTACTATGCAAGGCCCGATTTGCCTAATAAGCAAGTTTTCCTGAATTAATATATTTTCTCTCTATTTTTTCTTATGAAATGATAAAGCTACCATTTCATTATGTATGAGGTCAATTTTTTTATTGGAGTTAAAATTAACGTAGATATATGACCGAACCTAACCAACCTACCTAACCTAACCTAACCTATCTTTATAGGTTAGGTAGGTAGCCGAAAAAGGTTAGGTTAGGTTAGGTAGGTTAGGTAGTCGAAAAAACAATTAATTCATGAAAACTTGGCTTATTAGGCAAATTGGGCCTTGCATAGTAGGCTGAGAAGTGCGTTCTGGCTACTAGGTACGACATATATATATATATATAATGTATATATATATAATATATATATAATATATATATATATATATATATATATATATATATATATATATATTATATATATATATATATATATATATATATATATATATATATATATATATATATATATATGTCGTACCTAGTAGCCAGAACGTACTTCTCAGCCTACTATTCAAGGCCCGATTTGCCTAATAAGCTAAGTTTCATGAATTAATTGTTTTTTTGACTACCTAACCTACCTAACCTAACCTAACCTAACCTAACTTTTTCGGCTACCTAACCTAACCTACCTAACCTATAAAGATAGGTTAGGTTAGGTAGGGTTGGTTAGGTTCGGTCATATATCTACGTTAATTTTAACTCCAATAAAAAAAAATTGACCTCATACATAATGAAATGGGTAGCTTTATCATTTCATAAGAAAAAAATTAGAGAAAATATATTAATTCAGGAAAAACTTGGCTTATTAGGCAAATCGGGCCTTGCATAGTAGGCTGAAAAGTGAGTTCTGGCTACTAGGTACGACATATATATATATATATATATATATTATATATATATATATATATATATATATATATATATATATATATATATATATATATATATATATGTATATATATATAAATAAATAAAAGACAGGAGCAGAATAAATATTATTCAAGAAAAATGCTTAGTCGTGTCCAGATTTTATTTGGATGCATAAAATGATAGCTGTTAGGTTATCATCCAATACATCCTAAGTGGACAGCGCTTCGGATTCGTATTCCTGAGGTTCCGGGTTCGATCTGCGGTGGAGGCGGAGACAAATGGGCAAAATGTTTCTTTCACCCTGATGCCCCTGTTACGTAGCAGTAAATAAGTACCTGGGAGTAAGACAACTGCTATGGGCTGCTTCCTGGGGATGTGTAACAAAAAAGAAGGCTTCGTCGAGGACCGAGCCGCGGGGACGCTAAGCCCCGAAATCATCTCAAGATAATCCCAAGATGCAAGATAATTATGGCTTTGTTTCTGAATTGGTCATGCAGTAAGTAGTTGTGTGTGTGTGTGTAACTACACCCACGTGTAGTTTAAACATTCCAGAACTACACCTTAGTGTAGTTACAGGATGAGAGCTACGCTTATGGTGTCCCGTCTTCCCAGTACAGTATTCTGTCATAACACTTTGAAACTACTGATGGGATTGGCCTCCACCATCACCTCGCTTAACTTGTTCCTACAGTCTACCACTGTTTGCAAAAAGGAATTTTCTAATATTTTTCAGCAACTTTATTTTGTTTAACTCTATGACCTCTTGTGTTTGAAGTGCCAGGTCGTAAGAATCCGTCTTTATCAATTTTGCCGATTTCCATTACTGTTTTGTGAGTAGTGATATATGTTGCCTCTTTTCTTGTATTCTCATACAGGTACTGTATCTTAAATCTTGTATCGTTATAGTTTTGGCATATTTAATGTCTCTTACCTCTCCTCGTAGCTTTGTTTTTCTAGTTCCAGAATCCATTTAGTTGCAAGTCTTTGCACCATTTCTAGTTTGTTGATGTGCTTCTTAAGATGTGGGCATCATACAACCACTTCATATTCCAGCTTTGGTCTCAGAGGTCGTGAACAATTTCTGTAGTATTTCGCCAGCCATGTACAGTATTTAAAGCAGTACTGAAATTGGAAGGTGTAGCATATGCTCCATGGACAATGCTCTTTATGTCATCAGGCGACAGATATCTATCTAGAACTACCTCAAGATCTCTTTCTTTATCAGAATTTTTCCAAGGTTTTTCACGTTATTCGTAGGTTGTGTGCGACCTATTTTTTCCAACATTCCATAACCTGGCATTTATTCAAAGTATTACTCTACACACTTATTTTGCCAGTCTTCTTGAAGGGCATGACAATTATCTAAGATTCTTATCTTCCCTAGTATCTTAGCATCATCAGCAAACATGTTTATGTAATACTGTATTCCTTTTGGTAGATCATTTATGTAAACAATGAACAGTACCGTTGCAAGAACTGAACTCTGTGCTTCTCCACTCGACATTTCTCCAGTCTAATATATTGCCTCGTGATTACTTCCCTAATATTTTTTTTGTCAGAAAATTTTTCATCTATGTTAGAAGTCTCCTTGTCACTCCTCCAGTATGCTCCAGTTTCCAGAGCTACCTCTATGTTGAACTCTGTTTAAAGCCATTTTTAGGTCTGGATAAATGCAGTCAACCCAACTATCACTTTCTTGAAAAATATCTGTGGCTGTCATAGAAACTTAAGTAGATTCATTTCACAGGATCTTCCAGATCGAAAGTCGTAATACTGTACCTGTCTGTTATTATATAATTTCTCTCCAGGTGTTCTACCCATTTGACTTTACAGTAATTGTTTTTCCATTACTGTGACTTCTACAGTTGTTAATGATACAGACCTATAATTAAGGTCTTCCCTGCATCCACTTTTGTAGATTGAAACTTTATTAGTCTTTCTCCATGTTATCTGCCAAGACTCCTTTATACAGAGATAACTGAAAAGTCAAATGAAGTGGAATGTTGAGCTCGGGTGCACATATAACCGAAGTTGAAACTCCATCTGAGCTTTGATCCTACTTAGCTCTTTGAACATTTTTTCTCACTTCCTCTCTAGACACGTATGTGCTCTGTGATGTTCTTTGGGATTCTTATTGTGTCTGGTTCTCTGAAAATTTCATTTTGCACAAACATACTTTTGGAACTGTTTGTTTAGTGTTTCACAAATTTCCTTTTTCATATTTGGTGAATCTCTTAAAAGTAGGTTGGCATTTTTCTTTATGCAAATCATAACTGTTAGATTACATACAGTACAGGGTATGCATTGCAAGTCTCATTTTAGACCATTTTAATGTGGTAAGTGTGGATGAACCCCTACCGTGTTATGGGGTTCATCCACATTTACCTCATGTTAGGGGTTCATCCACGTTTACCCTAAGTTAGGGGTTCATCCACATTTAATGTGTGTTAGGGGTTAATCCACATTTATTGTATATTATTAACAATATAATATTCACAGTATATTATGACAATAAAAGTGACATGCGAGTGCAAAGTATCTCGACGCGTGTTGCATGGCTTGTTTTCTGGTAATAATGAACATAAAGCAGTTTCCCCGTTCTTGCATGCAGTGCTCTTAACGTAATTTTCTGGTATGTTATGTTGGCTTTTTGTAACAGTTATCACACGTGTGTGTAAATTATTTCCAATACACACTTTTAAGTTATCATAGTACTGTAGTTGTTTCTTCCTGTAATGGCTTAAATGTCCATTCGTGGAGTATGCTGCCTTTTAAAAGATTAATTTTCTGTGTATGCTAGCTGTTGTGCTTATGCCATTATTATTGGGGTTTATTATGTATCAGAGAAGAGGTAGTAAATTTAAATGTTTTTTATTTTAATGTTTTGGGTTTTATGTTCTTATTTACATGTGAGCTAGATTGATCTCCAAATGCATTATTTATATATTTAACTTAAACAGTTTTCTATAATTTCTCCTTTTCCCACATCCTTAATGAGCAGAATTCATGTTATTTTTCTTTGTGGTACAGATATGAGAGGTGATAGACTCAAATTTAGACAGATTGTTTGTGAATGTCCATTCATATATACCGAGTGTTGGGGGTTCATCCACATTTACTGCGTGTTGGGGGTTCATCCACATTTACTGCGTGTTGGGGGCTCGTCCACATTTACTGTGTGTTGGGGGCTCGTCCACATTTACTGCATGTTGGGGCCTCATCCACATTTATTGCGTGTTGGGGGTTCAAGCACATTTACTGCGTGTTCGGGGATTCAGCCGCTTTTCCTGCATGTAGGGATGTATTCACCTAGTTGTATTCATCTAGTTGTGTGCACTAGTTTATGACTGGCATGATGTAGTAGAGCATTAACCTTTTGCCTTTAGCTGTCCAAGTGTGCAATGGAGAGGTAGTTGCACGAGCTGTTGGATGAATAGTTCTTACCCCTGCAGATAACAGTCGGGGAATGGTGTCTCGCTTGGTGTATGGTGCCGAATTAATTAACATTGGTATTATGAACCTGGGAACTTGGGCCATTCATTAGTGTCACAAGGAATGCCGTCATAGGATATATATTTTGTTTTGATATTAACTATAGGTACGGTACTGGTAACTCTCCTACCTTTTTCATCACTATTGCTGCTAGTTACTGTATCATTTTAGCTCATATTTTCTACAGTTTTTGTCCAATGTGCTGTCTTCAAAATCTCACCAGTAGCTTTTATATAAATGCTGATTATGGTTGCAATATTTGAAAGAGGATATTTTGAAATATACTGTATAAACACTTGTATAATATAAAAAGAAAATGAATAATTCCTTTAAATATTGTTGCCTTAGCTCTTGGTTTGAGAATAAATTAGATAAATTTGAAATAAAGTATCTCAAATTAGTTTGAGAATAAATAAATTAATTCTCAAACCAAGTAACCCTTAGGTTACTTGGTTTGATAATAACTTCCATGTGGAAATGTAAATAACATCGAAATTACTCTTTTTGAACAATGATTTTAAAGTCTACTACCCTTTACGAAAAATGGAATAGTCTTCCAATAACGAGATTACTTCTCACTTGAGACGTGAATTATATAAAATAGGTTTTTATGTTGTGATGAAATTGTGTAGTTTAATTTGTCATGGTTTACAATAATAAATCAGACTTTGTGGGTTTGAAACATCAAAATGGGCCTATTTCTAAAGGGAATAGATCGATAATGAGTTCCAGTTAGCCTGCACAGTATGTACGTTTGTTCGGCTAAGCCCTAATAAAAAACTAGTCAGGTCATTTTTAGGCCCTTATTTTGACACTTTTCCTGCAAATTTTTTTTTTTTTTTCATTAATCTTACCAAAGGAAGATTTATGCATTCTGCTTAAGATTGCAAGATCAAAAAGTTGAAATTTCAGAAATTAATTTTTTTTTTCATATTCCTTTTGGTTATCTTTAAGCCCAGAGTACTGTTAAATTCCCTATATCTTCCATCATTATTTCTGCTATTTGCCAGTTTAGCTTACAATTCCTACTGCTTTTCTCCAAAATTGTAATTTCCTTCAAAAGCTCACCAGAGACTGATTACAAGATCAGAAGGTAGAAATTCCTGAAAATAAAAATTTCTTAATGATATTCCTTTGGTTATTCCTTAGACCTCGGCCCAAAATACAGTACTGTATATTGAAGCAAAGTTCTGACAGGTGAATTTATTTACAAGTCAAGATACATTGAGTGATATTTTGCAACTGTTACATGGAGCTTAATTTAGAAATCTTTGAGCGATATTTGAAAAACACAACGTCCTCACAATGTTGCTCATGTAAAATTAAGTCTTATTACAGCCTAATTTAATGCAGAGTTTACACTCCAGTTCTTGCATCTATTGTATCTGAATTTATCCAAACCCTTTGTGCCACATTGGAAGTGGCTGAGACTCTGTCCCATTCCCCAGATTTTTAGTACAGTATCTTTGAATGCTTTTAGTACTATAGTAGTTCAACTTATTGAAAGCCTGTTGAATATGTATACAGTATTAGTTAGTGAGGGCATGTTGAATATACTACATGGTAAGAGCCTGTTGAATATACTATATGGTAAGAGCCAGTTTAAATACACCCTCTGTATGTAACCACCTTGTTCGTATCTGGAGATCCGCTGGACCAGGCTACTTTATTGATCGCGCTCTTGCTATCAAGCTATGTCTTATTCATGTCGGTAGTTGTGTCAAATGCTTGTAAATGCTGTTGCGTAGGCTTAATATTATTTTGTGTGATGCTGTTTGCTTGTTTGTTTGTGAATTGTGGTAATAACACTTATCATTAAAGTTGTACATTACAGGTATGTCTTCATGGTGTTTAATTTATCAATTGGCAACTTTGTGGTGTTTATAATACAGTACACTGAATTTTTGTATAGCCTTCATCTACTTGCAAGGTGCCGTGATGCATTTTCCATATATTGTATCTGAATTTTTTTCCTTGTTCAACAAAGTGTATCCATATTAAATGAAAATGTATTTTATTGGCTGAATAATTTTTATTTTTATTATTTTTTACCTTTTATTAATATATACAATAATACCAGGAGGGATGTTTAAAATTTTTCTTTAATTAATGTTTTATGTTACAGTTCTCATTGAGCTATTTTTATTATTTCCATGCTGGGTGATGCTAGGAATGCTAAGACATGCTAGTTTTGCTTTTCAGAATTCGTGACAGCCCAAGAACCTGTGAAATTCAAAGACGTTAGATTTTAGCCCATGGTCACGTTACCTATCAGGACAAAATAAGGTTGTGAAGCTCAGTGATACTTTATTGAGAATAATATTAGTCTGTTGTTGTAAGAGACTTAAGGATAGTCATTATCCATGGCTTTAAGTGATGGCTTAAGTTTGTGTAATATTCAGCCCTATTCTTCAAGTACATTTTCCGTTGATCTCATCAGATGGAGCTGTTTGTGTGCCAGAAATATACATATTGGAATTTGGTAAAACACCAAAGATTGAAAAGTAGCATGATAATTTGCATTTGTTTAGATTGTCCAACTCGTATGCTAAGGTAGGAATCACTCGGTCTTTTCTCTCTCAAGAGACACTTCAATTAGTGACAACAAAGAATTTCTGTACTGGTTGGAAGTATTTTAAGAAGATACATAATTTTTACAACATTGAATAACTAACAAGAAACTTTAAAAGGAAAACCAGTCAAGATATGGTATAGAGCATTTCAACAATTACAAAATTTCCAAAAGTGATCAGATGGCTGAAGCATATATTAAACAGTAGAGACTGTTGCACTGAAAGCTTGAGTTGTGGACGAACTGTGAAGGAATAGGGGCTGGAGACCTGAGAAGTGATGGATGTGGTGCTGCCGGCTCATGAAATATACATCAAAGAAGAGCCTCGAGAGGATTTACAGGTTAGTGGTACTTTAACTGTTGCTAAAATATTTTGAGATTGAATGTTGCTTATATTTGAAGCTTCAATGAAAGGGTGACGTTAATTTTAACCTGAAAGGGTGACGTTAATTTTAACCTGAAAGGGTGACGTTAATTTTAACCCTCGTCCTGACTGGTATATATGATGTTTTAATTTGTATGTAATTGTAACTAAAAATCTGTTGATACATGACTTGGGTTTATATAAGCATATCTTGGATATATGTGAACCTTTCTAGGGTGTGTTGGTTACCTGGACTAGGGTGTGTGTCATTACATAAGTGTAGTTACAGGATGAGAGCTACGCTCGTGGTGTCCTGTCTTCCCAGCACTCTTTGTTGTATAACACTTTAAGACTACTGACGGTTTTGGCCTCTACACTTTCTAACTTGGCTCACAACTGTCTACCACTCTGTTTGCAAAAGAAAACTTTCTAATATTTTTTAGCACCTTTGTTTCCTTAATTTGAATCTGTGTCCTCTTGTTACTGTTGGTGAGCCAGCACCATTAACAGCACCACCTTGACAGCGTCGTAATCACTAGTTACCTACCGACAGTGTGGAGTATGCGATTTGGGCCTTCCCAGCTGGTACTGATTGGATCATAATAGCCCAGTTGTCTCTTAGCCAGCTACCTTCTTGAAAGCAGCAAAGACCTTGGACACCAACTTCTCATTGAATTTAGGCATCATTTTAATGTTCTGCACTGGGTCGAAGCCAGTGGTGTCCCTTCTACCACTTAACACTTACACTCAACAATGGGAAATGCAATCTATACAAGGGATTGCACTAATCATTTGACCAATTCTGTCTAACTTACCTGACGAAAAGTTTGATCTCGCTGGGGATGCCAATTGTATTACGACCTGATTGAGCCAGTTACTGAGATTTTTCTGCTTATGGGGTTTTAGAGCCGCTTCTATAAACCCACCCCAAGTCAATGGTAAGTTATCAAGAATTGGCAGTAGCAAGTAATAGTGCATGGAATAAAAGGGGGTCACATAATACTAAATAACACCTTCACCGATATATTTTCTCTTAAGTCGTATAGCTACACATATGTACACAGTGTCTCTTTTGCACAGGACACCTAATATATCTGCAGTGTTCTTTGAATCCCAGTGAGTCTACTACTGTATCTTCAAGTATACATCGTCCATGTTCAATGGTAATTGCTGGCGAGTTAACCTTAGCTCTTAATATTACATAACAAAATACATAGGCCAGTCACACACCGTATTGTCACTATGTCCAAATACCCCACATCTGCTCTCCAGAAAAACACTGGCAGAGGTCTTCAGCAACACACTGACGGGTCACAAGTAATACGTCCAGGGGTCTCCACTAACATCCTGCCAGAAGTCTGACTACACACTAGCAGCACTTCCCAGCAGACGGCCAATACTGTCACCTTGTAACTCCTCTTGGCCAAATCCCGGGTATGTCAGTCCACACAATATCACTGCATCAGTACAACAGCCAACACACTGTCTACTACTGACGGCGGCCACTTGCCCTCCCACGAAAAAATCAGGAGTATTGAACTGATGTCCAAAGCGCAATAGACCCTCCTTGTCACATCTGTGGACATAAGCCATTAGCCAGACAGAAAGTATACAAGGAGAACATAGGGTGAGAAATCTTTCATCGAGGAACTGAAAATGTAATCGGATGCACAAACTCGATGTGCATCTAGCTGTCGGGGAAGCCCCTGACAGCTGAGTGGACAGCGCTTTGGATTCGTAGTCCTGAGGTTCCGGGTTCGATCCCTGGTGGAGGGGGAGACAAATGGGCAAAAAGTTTTTCACCCTGATGCCCCTATTACCAGCAGTAAATAGGTACCTGGGAGTTAGACAGCTGCTACGGGCTGCTTCCTGGGGGGTGTGTAACAAAAAGGAGGCCTGGTCAAGGACTGGGCCGCGGGGACGCTAAGCCCCGAAATCATCTCAAGATGACCTCAAGATAAGGAGATGGTGTTGATATCGTTACTTCACTCACCAGAGGTCATCATCATCGACCTCGCCTCCTAACTGAGGTACAAACAGGAACCTTTCACAGGTGACATTGAACTTGCCACACCTCTGTCAACAGATGGCGTTTTCTACATCTTGTCTAATACCTTGGAGGTGGAGTGCAGGTCCATAGATGGCGTCGATATCAACACTTCTCACTCCACCAACAGTGTTGATATCGTAACAATTTAGCTTTAGGGACCACAGTTGGCTTGTGTCATTTGCTTACTGTTATGAACCCTCTTGTTGTCTCTTGCCATGATACTACTGTACTTATAAGCTTCTCTAAGTATGAAATGTCACTGCCCACAATGTTTATCTTGGGGAAGGCATGGGGTAGCTTCCTGGCTGAACAAAATGCAATATAATTTAAAACTAAATTATATTGCCCAATATAAGAAAATATTAATTAGCAAGAATTATTCTTCCATAATTGTTTTAAATGAGTGTTTTATTCACAGGTTAAAGTTGAAGCGGACAATGATGGCCAATGCATCGAGTCTGACAGTCATGCACGCACTGTGGCCAACGGCCATGAAGTTGAGGAGATGCAGCTTGGGGATGTTACATCCTCGGATGAAGAAACGGAGAAGCAGGTAAGACTATAGTTTTAGCTGGCATTATCTTCGATACAGATAAAAGAAATGGGCAGTTTCCTTCCAGTAATTGGAATAGGCTAGTTTTGGTTCTAGGTAATGATGCTGAGTGGGTAATAAGTTTAAAGATTATTGAGGAATGGGGGTAAGATGAATTATTCTTCCATAATTGTTTTAAATGTGTGTGTTATTCACAGGTTAAAGTTGAAGCGGACAATGATGGCCAATGCATCGAGTCTGACAGTCATGCACACACTGTGGCCAACGGCCATGAAGTTGAGGAGATGCAGCTTGGTGATGTTACATCCTCAGATGAAGAAACGGAGAAGCAGGTAAGACCATAGTTTTAGCTGGCATTATCTTCGATACAGAGAAAAGAAATGGGCAATTTCCTTCCAGTAATTGGGATAAGACTGAGTAATGATGCTGTAGGGTAATGATTATTGGGGAATGGGAGTAAGAATACCCCATTCCCATGGGGTAAGAAAGAATAAAAATATAGGGTAAGGTAAGAATGAATGGGTAACCAAGTAATGATAATGAGTTGGTAATGGACGCCTGACAGCTGATTGGACAGCGCTTCAGATTCGTAGTCTTGAGGTTATTGGTTCGATCCTCGGTGGAGGCAAATGGGCAAAATGTTTCTTTCACCGTGATGCCCCTGTTACCTAGCAGTAAATAGGTACCTGGGAGTTAGACAGCTGCTACGGGCTGCTTCCTGGGGGTGGAGGCCTGGTGAAGGACCGGGCTGCAGGGACACTAAACCCCAAAATCATCTCAAGATAACCTCAAGGATTGTGTGAAAAGGCTGCCTACCCACGATCCTCAGACTGTCCCTTGATAACTCATCCCAATAGCAAAAGTAGTTGGGATTGGGTTGTTTAACAATTAAGAGGTTTCCAAAATTTACTTGAAAGAATATTTCAGGTGATTTATTTTGGTAGTTAAACTCTGATTACCACAAACTCTGCCATGTGGGTAGAACAAGGCTGATGGAAAAGGTCCCTGTCCTTGGTGCACCAAGAATGTCATTGGGAGCGTGACATGGCCAATGTGTCTTCGGAAGGGGGGTTGAGGGGAGCGAGAGCTGCTGTAGGATGGGGATCAGGCGGGACCTGCTAAGGTCCCGCCTGATCCCCTCCTGCTCATTCCCCACCCTGCTAAGGGTGGGGAATGGGCAGGAGATCCCGAGGGTAGGGAATGGGCAGGAGATCCCGAGGGTAGGGAATGGGCAGGAGATCCCGAGGGTAGGGAATGGGCAGGAGATCCCGAGGGTAGGGAATGGGCAGGAGATCCCGAGGGTAGGGAATGGGCAGGAGATCCCGAGGGTAGGGAATGGGCAGGAGATCCCGAGGGTAGGGAATGGGCAGGAGATCCCGAGGGTAGGGAATGGGCAGGAGATCCCGAGGGTAGGGAATGGGCAGGAGATCCCGAGGGTAGGGAATGGGCAGGAGATCCCGAGGGTAGGGAATGGGCAGGAGATCCCGAGGGTAGGGAATGGGCAGGAGATCCCGAGGGTAGGGAATGGGCAGGAGATCCCGAGGGTAGGGAATGGGCAGGAGATCCCGAGGGTAGGGAATGGGCAGGAGATCCCGAGGGTAGGGAATGGGCAGGAGATCCCGAGGGTAGGGAATGGGCAGGAGATCCCGAGGGTAGGGATTGGGCAGGAGATCCCGAGGGTAGGGAATGGGCAGGAGATCCCGAGGGTAGGGAATGGGCAGGAGATCCCGAGGGTAGGGAATGGGCAGGAGATCCCGAGGGTAGGGAATGGGCAGGAGATCCCGAGGGTAGGGAATGGGCAGGAGATCCCGAGGGTAGGGAATGGGCAGGAGATCCCGAGGGTAGGGAATGGGCAGGAGATCCCGAGGGTAGGGAATGGGCAGGAGATCCCGAGGGTAGGGAATGGGCAGGAGATCCCGAGGGTAGGGAATGGGCAGGAGATCCCGAGGGTAGGGAATGGGCAGGAGATCCCGAGGGTAGGGAATGGGCAGGAGATCCCGAGGGTAGGGAATGGGCAGGAGATCCCGAGGGTAGGGAATGGGCAGGAGATCCCGAGGGTAGGGAATGGGCAGGAGATCCCGAGGGTAGGGAATGGGCAGGAGATCCCGAGGGTAGGGAATGGGCAGGAGATCCCGAGGGTAGGGAATGGGCAGGAGATCCCGAGGGGAGGGAATGGGCAGGAGATCCCGAGGGTAGGGAATGGGCAGGAGATCCCGAGGGTAGGGAATGGGCGGAAGCTGCCAAGGGTGGGAATGAGAGGGAGCTGCCAGAGGTGGGGAACGGGCGGGAGCTAACGAGGGCGTGTTTTGTTTTTCTTGTATCTTTTTTTCCTATTTTATTAGTGATGATTAAAATAATAATAATCAACCACTGCACTGTGCAGAGCACCTTGAGGCATAGATCGGGGTGCGCAGAGCACCATAGGGCACTCACAGGCGCGGGTACACGGTGCTCACATTCTGCGTCTCAGGACTTCTGTAAACAGATACCATCTTGAAAAAAAAAATCGTGGGTAACATTCCTGGGTGTGAGAGCCTTGGTACTAAGTGAGCAACCATGGCTGGTGCATGCAGCATGAGCTAACAGCACTGCTGTTCAGCTTGTGACCACAGCATCGCCTAAAAAGTCAAAATATATACGTAACTGCTATTATTTAGCGGTGATAGTATTATAGAAGACCCTTAACTGATCAAAGTGACCAGTATTCTGGTAATAGCAGGATTGTGGTGATAATTAGCGCTGTGTAGTATGGTGGGAGGAGTAATCTTGGTGAGGGAGGGTGGGAGCATCAGCTGACTGTGTGGTGACTTCAGTTATTTTCTGGAGTCACTATACCAGCTTAGTGGTTCGCTATGGTAAACACAAATTTAGATATTTATATATAATGTGTGTATGTATATGGTGTTATAAAACCTCAGGTTAATTCTGGATTTGTCCAGTCTGAATCCATGGGTTTATTGCCTCTCTTTTTGGATGACTTCTCTGTCCCAGGCCCGTCTTCTCTTGAAGCCGGGCACTTGGGTGGTGTCCCTGGACCTCCGGGACACTTATTGGCATGTCCTGATTCATCCGGGGTTCAGGGACTGGGCCGGTTTTGTTGTGGGGCATCAGGGTTACCGCTTTCGTTACCTTCCATTTGGCTTGAATCTGGCACCTCGTGTTTTCACATGCCTTACCCGGGTCGTGGTGGCCCATCTGCTTCTTTTAGGGATTTGGGTTCTGGCCTGCCTTGACAACTGAATGGTGTGGGCTCCCAGTCGGTCCTCATGTCTGCTCGCCAGGGATTTGGTTCTTTCCCAGCTTGCCAGGTTTGGGTTCCTGGTGAACTGGAGGAAGTCCCATCTGGTTCCCTCTCGGGTTCAGTCTTGGCTGGGTCTTGTGTCGGACTCGCGGACTCCGGAGGCTCTGCTTCGGCTGCGGTCCCACCTTCGCCTGTTTCTGGGGAACTCCCTGATCACGCGATTGCTCGAGGGTTTGTGAGGGAGCCTGAACTTTGCCATGATGGTCTACTCACCGGTTCGGGTTTGGCTTTGTTGGCTGGTCTGGTTCCTTCGGGGGATGTCCCTTCCGCCTCTCTTGCGATCGCTGGGTTCGGCCTCTGGGGGCCGTGCGTTGGTTGCTGTGTCGCTGGTTTCCTCTTCAGGTTTTTCGAGGTTCAGTGCCTTGGTGCCTACCCAAGCCCTTGCTCGATGTGTTCACGGATGCGTCATCTCTTGGCTGGGGTTTTGTAACCAGTGCTCATCAGACCAGCCAGAGACAGTGGTGTCCATCCTTCCATTGGGACCACAGCATGGTGCAGGGTGTTCGTGGGGTTCGATTCGGGGGGGTTGGGTCGCTCGTGGATCGATGATCAGGCTCCATTAAGTTTGCTTCCCGGTGGTTCATTGCCTAAACAGCGGGGGTTCAATGCGGTCCTTGGCTCTTTAGAGCTGGTCGCTATTGGTGACTCATCTGCTGAGTTCTCGGGGTTTGACTCTTCTGGCAGTTCACGTTCGTGGGGTGTCTTAACGTCCTGGTGGACAGCCTGTCTTGGTTCATTTCCCTGTCTACGGAATGGACGGTCAACACAAACCTGATCAGTTGGCTCTGCCAGATGTTCGGGCTCCCAGATGTGAACCTCTTCGTGTTGGCGTGGTTGTGGCGTCTCTTGGTATATGTGGCGCCTTTGACCGACTGTGAGGCCGTTGGGTCGATGCCTTTAGGCAGGACTGGTTGAGGTGGGGCTACCTGTACCCCCCTTTCCCTCCCCTGGTTTTGCTGTTGCTCCAGGCCCTAGCTCGCTTGGAGATATTCAAAGGGGAAAATAGTCCTCTTGGGCCCTTGGTGGCCGGCCCAGCCTTGGTTTCAGGCATTGCTTGCTCTGTGTCTGAACCTGGGGGTCTTCCTTTGGCTCTGCCTCTTTCAGCAGATTGGGCCAGTCCATTACATGGCTGGTTTGATCTTCTCCTCCAGTCATCGCGTCTAGTCTTTCTGACGTGGGTCTGTCACCACTTGTATGGTGAGCAGGTGGCTTCATTGGTGTCCCACCTGAGTGCTTCGTCTCTGTGGCAGTATGAAGTTTCCTGGTGGTCCTTCTGTTATTTCTTATCAATTCGTAGGTTTACTCCTGTCTCTGATAAGGTTGTCTTGTCCTTCCTTTCGTGGTTGTTCCGGCACCGTCATCTTATGCCAAATACTGTCACCTCGTATTGTGCTGTGCTGGTGGAGCCGCTGCGGCTTGCATTCGGCATTGATGTTACGTCTGCACCATTCCCCAAGCTGTCTCGTGTGTTGTTTCACCTCCGGCCTGCTCATGCGCCACCTGAGCTGTGCTGGTCGTTGGACCAGGTGCTCTCCTTTCTCTTCTCCTCAGTTTGTGGTGACCCCTTCAGTTCAGGATTGTTTGGCGAAGACTCTTTTTCTTGTTGGCATTGGCCTCTGGGGGATGTTTCGGGGAGCTTCATGCTCTCCTCTGGCACAGAGGTTTCTGCTCTTTTGGTCCTGGTGGTAGGTTTGTTCGTTTGCAGCCTTCTCCTTCTTTTCTTGGCAAAAAATGAGACTGCTGCTTTCCGGAGGGGTCCTTGGGTTGTGGATGCTTGGTTGGTTGGTTAGGCCGGGGGTGCATCATGTGTTGTGCAGTTGCGGCTCTTTGCCGTTACCTGTGCGCCACGGCCTTGGTGGCCGGAGACATGCTTTGGGTTGACCCGGTTTCCCTTCTTCCCTGTTCCAGGGTTCGGGTTTCACAGGTCATCTGCAGGGTTATTCGGTCTAGCCAGCCTGCAGTCTATCCTCGTGCCTACGACGTTCATAAGTTTGCTGTGCTGGATGCCATCTTCGGTAACATGTCTTGGACTGACATTTGGGCACAGGGTTTTTTGGATGTCGAACAGGGTTCTGGCCGCTTGCTACATTGTCAATGTTCCTGGGCCTAGTTGGGCCTGTGTCGCATTGGGTCGGTGGTTGCAGCCAGTTGTCTCGACTTTACGTTGAGGAGCAAGGGCCTCCCGCCTCCCGGGTAAGTCCCTCTTGTTTTGTCTTTGGATACATAGCTTCGGGAAGCCGAAGGGGCTTTCCCCAGAAAATCAGCGTTGAATGTAATGAAACGCCATTTTCTGGGTGAGACCCAGTGGCTCCCCAGCATCCCTCCCTCCCTCCTTCCCTTCTTCCCTCCAGTCGGCGTTTTTTCACAGTTTTTGACATCCAGCCTCCGAACTGGGGTGTGGATAGCCAGCACGGGGTCTGGCGCTCCCCCTTTCCCAGGAAGGGGAAGGGGGGGTGCACAGACAGTGGCCCGGTGACGTAGTTGTTATGTCATGCTCATTTGCTCGTTTTCATTTGGGGAGTTCTGTCCACTGGTTCGGCTCTCAGCAATATTTTAACCAGAATAGGGGTTTGTTTTGGGGTGCTTACCTTTCTGGGTGCCTGACCCGGTCAATGGCAGACATAGAATGCTTCCAACCACACAGGGATTTCTATAGGCCATTGCTCCTCGTGCCTATCTGAGGGGGGCCAGGTTCTGGCTCGTGGTCTCCGGTAGGCCTAGAACTCCATGTGCATTGACTGATGCCAGGGTCTAATACATTCATATCGGCCTGGATACCCCCGGGAAGCCTCCGGGTCACGCCCAGAAAATGGTGTTTCATTACATTCATCGCTGTTTTTTTTTTTTTAGTTTCTTGTGATCAGAGAGACTGCATTTTAACAATACAGTACAAGAAGAGAAAAAAATTTTTTAGCAGAGAATTTATTTTTGGCGCACAGGGGGAATGTCATATTTTAAGGCTGCGCAGCACGGTGGTTAAGAAAAAATCTGCTTCAACACTTGGAGGATGTAAATCATATGTACTGTATATGATTTGCAGATTTAAAATATTTAAAATAGTCCTGAACATACACAGGGCTCACATTTGCTTCCTCAAGCCTCCAATGACCATCCCCCATCTTGGGGGGAAAAAAAAAAAAAAAACCCGAGTCCCTCACTTTCCATCTAGAGCCTTAATAAGAAAATGAGGGCCATTGTTTGGCAGCATTACCATCCAGTGTCGGAACGTTTAGGGCAGCCATAGAGGAGACGCTAAACTTTTAGCAACAGTAAATGAGTGATTATCATATATATATTTGAGACAAAATATGTACTATATGCAATTTTAAGATGTAGGCTTGTATATATATATTTTAGTATGAACAAGTACATGGTGTCTGTATCTATACTCATATCTCCATATATACTTATATTTTCAAAGTTATACATAATTAAGATTACCTTTGACACACAAATGCAACCTGTTAATATGAAAAACCAAATAAATAAAGTGAGAAACCATGAAAATAAATCAACAAAGTTATTCCCTTGCGGCACCTCACCTGGTTTTTACCCCAAAAAAACACAACTTCTCCGGGTCACTACAGCTAAACCACAAGAGGTAAGAGACTTTTTATTTTGATTTTGTGCTTCTGGAGGTGCAAATTTTTTCTTGAGCACCATTGGGATGTCGGCTGTTAACAGTTGTGCAGCCCAGGGGTTAAGCTTCATTTTAAAATAGCCAAAATACTTTATTCCTTTAACAGGATATGCTGGAGTGTCGAATGTGCAAGAAAAAGTACTCTACCACTGCCTCACTTCGAGCTCACCTGAGCAAAAAGCATCGGATTGCCTTGGGGACATGCTACACTTGTTACCTGTGTGGAGCCATTGGTCAGTCTAAAGCAACTTTGAAACGACACCTTATTCGAACCCATGGTGAACATAGCATCCAACAGCCAGAACTCCTTAGAAAGGTGAGACTTGCTTTATAATTACAGCAGACCACATTGACTGGTGGGTAAAGTGAAGGCCTCGCCTCTTGCTGGTCGAAGCTTAATCCCTAAAAGTCTTAAGTGGTTGGGAACCATTCCTTCGCTCCCTCCTATCCCAGATTTTTGTCCCCCATATGTCTTCAAAAGTGCTTTTTGTCATACTGGCTTGGCACATTTTCCTGATAACTTGCCTAACCTTATCTTACAGCATACCTGTACAACATTCGCTAATTTTGTATTTGATGCCTAGCTATTTATACCTATATTCACTTTCACAAGATATGCCAATGTAGAGGTGCATCATTGATGTGCTATGATCAAAACACGTGTAGTTCTCAAAGTCCGTTCATGAAGACTAGCAACAAAGTCTCTTATTAGCGTAACTTCTTTTAATTTTTCTTGCTGACTTCCCCAAGGCCAGTCTGCACTGCTGAGTTTTAGTTCAGCTAGGTGGTTGTGGTGTGGTGCATGTCAGATGCCTTCAAATGTCCGTACTACTTTGATTACATACAGTGCATGCATACCCCTTTTAATTGGTTTTCCCCCCTCCCCCCAAACAGTGATGATTCGGTATCAAGGTATTTATCTCAAATGTTAATTAAAGGAATCTGATTAGTGTAATGTGAAATGTGATAGTAAAATTGTTAATAGAAATGGGGGAGGGATGGAGGAGGAAGAGGATGTACTTCACACCATTATTTGTTGTATATTAATGACTTTAGTGATGTAGGATTGGGAGCAGGGTCTTCAGATATGCAGTACTTGGTCTACCTACTGCTGCTTTGTCATGTGCAGGATTATACAGTATAAGTAATGAAGCTGGAGAGTGGTAGCTTCACAGGTTGTGAAACGTTTCTAGTGATGATGGAATCATCGTCGTCTTTTATTTTTTTTTTATGTAATCCTTCCTTAGATAAAATCAGTTAAGTACATTAGTGTAATTGCTTATTAGGCAGCTTTCCAAATACATTGTATCCATACTGTACAGTACATTTCTAATGTCAACGGCATTTGGCATATTCCCACATTCATATTTAGCATATTCCCACATTCATAGAATAGTTCAGAGGCTGTCTCAAAATCATTTCTTTTGCGTTCATTTAAACTCACCACAATAAACTGGTTAACAGTGCCGTCACTGTGGGCAAGGACTAGCATCACAAGCAGCCCTGTACAAGCACATCTCGCTAGCTCATGCTGAGGAACTCGACCAGTACCACCGCTGTCCAAACTGCCCGGCACTAGTCAGGAGTCGTCCTTCGCTGCTCAGGCACTTCAGGTAGATGATGATTTTGTTTTTCCAATAGTAAAATGGTAAGAAGCCAATCTGAAATACTATGCGTATTAGTGACTTTGTAAGAATGTACCATATAATCTATCAAATTTGTACACAACCCATTATTATTCTTATACCTACATAAATATGTTGGATAAGTTTAGATTTGGAAAAAACACCTGGGAAAAATTTGGTTAGGAATTGGGTTTTTGATTTATGGACTCAATTATCAGTTAACATTTACTGTATGATTGACATGGGACCACTGGACTGTTTTAAGCACAGGTAGACATGTTGTATGAGCAAGTGAGTTTGGGTGGATATAAATATGAGTTGTCTCACATGGGCCAATAGGCTTTTTGCAGTTTCCTTTTATGTTGTTGTACAATAAATAAAATGTAAAATACAATCCCTTTGGCATCTTGTATTGTATGTAGGGCAATGAGTGTAAGAGATTTGTATTCTTCCTATAAGATGGTGGAGCAACTAGCATCCATCAAAGCATCCATCCACATCTTACCAGAGCGTTGAAGATGTGGGTCTTGTAGCATGATGGTCCGTGTCCTCAACTCGCAGTCGAATGACCCGGGCTTAGTCCCTGGGCAGGAAAGAAATTGTGGGACATGTTTCCTTTTACCTGATGTCTGTGTTTACCTATCGGTAAATAGGTGCTTGGGAATTAAGCAACTGTTGTGGGTTGCATCCGGGGAAAGGTTGGTAGTTGGCCTAAGGGGACCTGGATAAGCCTTGGTAAATGCTTTCTGTCCCCAAAAGTGGAGATTATGCATGTCTTTAAGTACAGCTGAGATTATATAGAGGCCTTAAATGAGGAACTTTAACTTCAAGAAAGATTACTCTGAACTTTAAAGTTCTTTACATCTCTCTTGTATAAGAAAAGAACTGTAAAGTAATTCTTTCTGAGCTGTGAAAAAATTAATTATGATCATTTTGAGTTTCTTGAAATGAAATGTACTGTGTACATGTTTGTCAACTCTCTCCCACATAGAGGAATGCTGACCTATCAGTGACTACAAGGGAGGAGGGGGGGGGGTTAGTGGTGGGGGTGAGGTGTAGCTCTTTTATGACCTGCCTCCTGGCTTCTTGTTCCTGGTGCGCCAATTATCTCTCGCAACATTCAAATTTATATTTATTTTTTAAAGTTTGTGAATAGAATTGGCTTTAACAACAACTTTCTTTAGTGCATTTCACTGAAGGAAGTAGTTGTTGCAACCATCTACAACTTTCAAGAAACATAATGAAAAGATTAATGTTGTGAGAAATATAGCATGTCAGGTACTTGCCTAGTTGTGCTTGTGGGGGGTTGAGCTTCGGCACTTTGGTCCTGCCTCTCAACTGTCAACCAACCAGTGTACAGATTCCTGAGCCTATTAGGCTCCATCATATCTACATTTTAAATTGTGTACGGAGTCTGCCTCCACCACATCACTTCCTAATGTATTCTATTTGTTAACTACTATGTCACTAAAAAGTGCTTGTGCCCCCAATGTAAATTGAACTGTCTTTATCAACCCTATCAATTCCCCTCAGAATCTTGTATGTGGTGATCATATCCCCCCTAACTCTATCTTCCAGCGATGTGGGGTTTGGTTCCCATAGTCTCTCGTCGTAACTCATACCCCTCAACTCTGATACTAGTCTGGTGGCATAATTGTTACAGTCTCTTCATATTTTCCCCTGCAGTAGAAGCCATCCAGGAATCAAGTTCCCAGGACATGAAGTTCAAAGATGCCCCAAGTGTGACATTGAGTTCAGGTCACGTACTGCACTCAAGGTTCACTTCAAGGCCAGACACCCAGAGTTATTACTTCATAAATGCAATATTTGCACCTCATCCTTCAAGTATTTCTACCTTTTGACTCGTCATATCAAGGTTAGTGGTTTTCACATTATCTGTTTGAAAAGTATATTTTTGAATATTATTATTTTCATAATTTAGTATTATCTATTTCCCAATTTTAATGGGTAAGGGAGACAATAGTCCAGAGAAGATATAAAAGTACACCAGTGTATGACAAGAGTTGTTTAAGATTTCCTCTGCAATAGCGATTACTTTCACACCTCTTCCGTCACAGACTGTGGCACTTAGGCTAGTCAGTACAGTGATCAACTGAATGGCTGGATAACATTCCTCCAAGCCATTACGTATTCTAGTGCCTTGTCCTCATGTCCCTTTCAAATGATATATAGTCACACTGGCTTGATGCTTTTTCCTCATACTTACCTTATCTTGTGAGTGCATTACCTGTGAAGCGGGGGTAGCTAGTAGAATCATTTAAATGGCTTTTGGCCCTTTAGACAGTTCTCAAGAAGAGCTTAGGCATAATCATTGTGATTCAGGCCTAGGTGTAAGGACTCGTGTTATCAAACAGAGATAACCTTTCAAGTCATATTGGGTACCTGTTTTACTGCTTGGTGAACAGGGGAATTGGTTGAAGGGAAATATGCCAAATCATTTCATTCCTGCTAGAGGATTAAACCCAGGATACTTGTTTGCGAGCCAATGGTGTAAACCACTGTAGTAGAAATAAGTATGCCGATAATGTTTTAACATTTGTAATGCCCAACTGCTATGTGTGTTGCATCTTGGTTGCCGTATAAAAATATTCATAGTACAATGTTTTTAATTTATTACAGGCATGCCATGAAAGTAAACCGGCTCCACCACCTAAGCGCCGGTATAAATGCGGAGAATGTGAGAGAGAATACTGTGCCAAATCCCGTTTGGAAAAGCACATAAATCACGTGCACGCAAATCCAGAGAGACGAGTCTTCCACTGCACACTCTGCAACTTGACCTTCTCGTCTAGCAGTCGTAGGTCAGTATTATGCATGATGAGCAGCTGTGTATACAATACGTGTCATTTACCTCTGTTTTACAGTCAATATTACTGCCTAATAGGGAGCAGACGAATAAAGGAACCTGCAGAATGCCTATTAGCCTATGTGAAGTAGCTTCTACTTGTCAAATCTTATAAATGGTTGTAAGTTTTAGATTGGGTTATTTTTCATAAACTTACAGTACAGTGCAAAAATGGCTGAAAAGATAGTCACAATAACAGCATAGCATATAGAGATTATCATTATATATGGTATAATTTGGATTTAGATTTTAAAGTTTAATTTGTGATTTATGAGAAAATTATTGATTTATACTCATGTATGTCTAACTTTTGCAATAAGTAGTTCAGCAATCCCACATCTGTTATGCTATGCCATAATTTGTTCCATTCATTGGTCAGTAAACTTGGGTCATGTGGAGTAATAATCATTTATTGAAATGAATTATTGTTTGCTACTTTCATTGCTAAGAGCTTTCATTCATGATATTTAATGTGTAAGGGTTAATGAGTGTGTCGTTTAATGTTAGTGTAATGTGCTCTGGTTGTCCTCTTGTGTCTGGAGGGAGGTAATCTGCCTTGTCTCCTGCTTTTATGGGGTGGCCAAGCATCCATACAGTGGACTTAAGCATATGGAGCCAGCACAGTCACACACTGGCAGTCCATCAACAGCTGTTCCCCACCACTTTGTACAGCCAGGTGTTGAGTGTTTTTCATCAGTTACCACAAAAAATAATAATAATAATTTGCTGTTAAACTGATTGCAGCTTTGACATATTCTGTACTTGCTCTGCACAGTTCACACTAGGCCTTGGATTTAACTTGTCCTCGGATTTCTCACTCTCACTGTGTCAGTCCATCTTCTTCTTCCTGTGAATAAGACTTGGCACAGAGGCCTGAACCTGAGATCCAGTTTCTTGTTGCTGTCAGGCAGGTGGCCTAGCTCAAGAGACAATGGCTATGGATGGATGATTTAGTGGATTTTTTCAAGTGAAGAGTGAGACTCCTCACGTATATCAGTTGTTTTTATGAATGACATTATAGGCTCAAGAGTTTGATTTCAGCCATTTTATAACTTAATGTACTGTATTGTGCGTTTAGAAAGTTTATAATGTTATTTGCATTGCCAGAGATGCCTGGCATAAGGACTACGAATACCTTGCTTTATTGGCTATGATTAAAACACATCTAGTTTATAAATGAAAAGGTTAATTTGTTTTATGTATTTTTTGTATTTGTAAGTTAATATTTTTTATTTAAGATAGCCAGCACACTGATTTTCTCAAGGATCTACAGATGTGTCCATTTGAAGTGTTGATGTAGTTATTGGTCTTTTTGTTGTTCAGCGCAAGTGTTTGCTAAAAGTTTTAGTGATGGACTTGGTGTTAAATATTTTCCTTCTCATTCATGGTAATTTCTTCCAATCACATCCCTGCTTTCTTTTCTAGAGTTCGGCATTACCGATCAGTACACCGTGACAGAAATGCACCTCACTGTAGCGAGTGCACAATGTACTTTGAAACGGTTGAAGATTTGAACATTCACAGGCAAGAGCACAAGATGAACTGTGCAGTGTGCAACAAATCTTTCCTTGTAAGTGGCACTTTTGTTTTAGTGATCTATCTGCCCGTATCTCTGATGCGTTCTCTTCAAGGTCAGCCCAACCACTTGGACTGGTCAGTGCAGTGATGGCCTAGGTTCTTGCAGGTCAGTGTTTGATCTTCCGACAGTCCAAGTGGTTGGGCGCTGTCTTCATATCCCCTCCATGTGTTTCATAGTCATGCTGGTGTAGTACTTTCTACTCATAATTTCATTCATTCCTCTTCTATGCCTTGAAGGTGAACTTTGGTACTATATAAACATTTTGCTAATGGACCGTTTTAACATCTTAGTAAGTATTGGAGACTCAGAAGCCATCTGCAATATTAATTCATAAATCTGGGTGGGTGTCCCTTTTTATTATTATTTTTTTAAAGACCATGAATGTGTGATGATGCTAGTTTTTTTTTTTTTTTCTTAACTTTCCATATATTTTCTTAATGTTGGTACTTTTTAGTTGTTATTGGTGTTATGTGAAGTATTACTTAAATATGAATAATATAATATTATTTAATAATTTTTTAAATATGACTTATAAAATTACTTAAATATGAATAATATAATATTATTTAATAATTTTTTAAATATGACTATTATAAAATTACTTAAATATGAATAAAATAATACTGAAGTTCCTTCCATCATTTACAGCGACGCGATTCACTACGGGAACATCTGTTGATACACAATGGACCCAAACTTCCTTGTCCATATTGCTCCAAGACCTTCACTCAAAACTCTAATCTCAAAAGACACATCCGTATCCACACAGGTGAGGAAAGAATGACATAATTGATTGCTGCCTTAATTATGGTTCTGTTATTAAGAATGTCTTCAATTTCCTGCCTTTTCTGATGGTGTCTCATTGTAGAATGTTATTCACAATATTCATGTTATTGTAATAGGGAGTTCAAGTTAAAGTTCAATTAAGTTTATTGAGGTAATAAAATACATCTCAAAAGGATAGAGTAGCTTAGGCTATTTCTACCTTGTTGACCAAACCTCACACTAGAAGATAATGGGAGCAGGTCGGCCGAGCGGACAGCACACAGGACTTGTGATCCTGTGGTCCCGGGTTCGATCCCGGACGCCGGCGAGAAACAATGGGCAATGTTTCTTTCACCCTATGCCCCTGTTACCTAGCAGTAAAATAGGTACCTGGGTGTTAGTCGGCTGTCACAGGCTGCTTTCTGGGGGTGGAGGCCTGGTCGAGGACCGGGCCGCAGGACACTAAAAAAGAAAGAAAGGAAAAAAAAAACGAAATCATCTCAAGATAACCTCAAGATAATGAGACAGCAACATTTTGTTGAGAATAACAAGGGTTGTTTTTGTTGACTTTGGCCTCTTGGGCTCGGGTCGGGGAGCGTAATGCTTTCCTCCGGCACAGAGGCTTCTGCTCTTTTGGTCCTGGTGGACGTTTTGTTTGCTTGCAGCAGTCTCCTTCTTTTCTGGTGAAGAATGAGACAGCGTGCTTCCGGAGGGGTACATGGGTTATTGATGCTTGGTTATTGATTTCCTTGGCTTCCAGGTGTTGGGTGAGTGAGCTTCATGCTCTCCTGGCACCAGGGTTTTTGTTCCTTTGGTCCTGGGGGGTGGTTTCGTTCCTTTGCAGCCTGCTCCTTTTCTGGCAGAGAATGAGACGGGGGCTTTCGGAGGGACCCTTTGGTTGGTTCGGCCAGGGGTGCATTAAGTGCCCTGTTTGGTGGTGGCTTTACGCCATTACCTTCAAGCCACCAGTTCTGTTTCCGTGGACATGTTGTGGGTTTATCAAGTTTCTCAGGTTCCCTGTTCCAGAGCTTGTTTCTCAGGTTGTCTGCAGTGTCATTAAAGCTAGCCGGCCTGCGGTCTATCCTCGTGCTCACGATTGCAAGTATGCTGCCTTATCAGACATTTTTGGTAATGTCTTGGGCAGATGTTCAGGCACAAGGGTTTTGGAGGTCTAACTGGGTCCTGGCCGCTCGGTATCTTGTGAACGTTTCAGCTCCTCTGCGGCCTTGTTGCATTGGGGGCGTCTGTCGCAGCCTTTGGTCTTGACTTTGCATTGATGCCTGCGGTGCTCCCGCCTCCCTGGTAAGTTTTCCCTTTGTCCTCTGTGGGTAGTTAACTTTAGGGAGCTGATGGGGTTCCTCACAGAAAACCAGCATTGAATGTAATGAAACACCAGTTTCTGCACGAGCCCTAGTGGCTCCCTGACACCCTCCCTTCTCCAGGTCGGCGGTGTGTTTCTCGGTAATGAACTGAAGCTGGTTGGCCCATATGGTCTGGCCCAGCTCCCTCCTTCCCTTAGGGGGGTGGGGGAGGTGGAGTTAACTAGCGGATGGCTAGTTTTCACGAAGTTTTGTAGTTTCTTTTATTTTTGTAGGCGTTCTTTTGGCATTTTGGGGCTTTGGGTGCATTTTAAACCTGGCTGTGGTTTGTTTTGATTCATCTCTCTGGGCGCCTTCCCTGGTGCTGATGATATCGTTTTAAATGTAAAGTGATCATAGGCCATAGCTCTCTGCTCCACTGTGAGGGGGGTGGGGGGCAGGTTTAGGCTCGGGGTCCCTGGTAGGCATGAAAGAACTCTGCAGCTGATGTCACTTGGTAGTATGACAATCAGTTCAAATAGCTTCAGGAAGCCTCTGGGGCTTGCCCAAAAACTGGCGTTTCATTATATTCACCGCTGTTGTTTTTTTTCTCGAATATTCAATAGTGTGTAATTTGAGGAATTTATATGGTTAAATGTGCCCTCCCATCCTCTTCCCCCAAAAAATTACATTATAAGAGGTGATTAGAAGGGTGGAAATGGGAATTTTAGTCTTATTGGTACGATAGTTATTAGAATCGGAAATATAGAAGAATTCTTTGGCCTAAGTTATTTGTTTTCCATCTTTTTGTCTTTGATATTGTAGGAAATTAAATAGAATTACTGTATCATTGTATTATTTATAAGTAATAACATTTTTCAATATTTACCTTTTTATTTGCAGGTGAAAAACCCTACAAGTGTACTTTCTGCAGCAAAAGTTTTGGTGACAAATCAGCTTGCAACAGTCACATTCGAGTTCACACAGGAGCCGAGCGTTGCATGTGCCACTTGTGTGGTGCATCTTTCTCAAAACGGCAGAAACTCAACTATCACATGCGTAAACACACTGGCCAAGGTCTGCTCTACTGTCCTCTTTGTATCAAACCAACAACAAATTCTTATGCACTCAAGAAGCATATAGAGACTCATCAGCAGGCTCTTGTTCCTGTGTTGCTTAGTATGGGGATATCATCCCAGGTAGAAGACTGTCATCAGTTGGCTCTAAAAGCATTACACGACTTGGCGTCTGCTGCGGTACAGAATAGCTTAGATAACCAAATGAGAAACGCACATTTTTTAGATTCTGACACGTGTACTGTAAATGAATTTAATGTTGATCATGTTCAGTGTGGTGATGCTGAAAATGCAGACGTACCGTGTAAACATAAACAAACTGATTGTGAAATAGAACGTGAGAAGTCTTTAAACTCGAATGTAAATCATGATCAAAGAAACGAATTATCTGGTTTGAGAGCAAACAGTGTGACAAGTAATAAAGAAGACATCCAATGTTGCAAAAGTATTGTAGAAGGAATAGTTCCTAGCCACAAGTCACTTACAGATAATGTTACATTATCTGCGGTAGGAAGTCAGCAAGATGGAGAATTAGGAGAAACTGCTCTAAAGAATGTGCTCTCTGGAGAAAGTGACCCACTCGTGGACATGCAGTGTTGTAATATAAAGTGTGAAGATTCCATGGACTTAGAAAGTGAATCTGAAACTGTAGAAAAACTTGATAATCATTCTTGTGTTGCCTCGCCAAAACATCTCATTACTTATGGAAAAATAAGTAAGAAAACATCTGCACCAGAGTATAATGAACAGAACACCTTGGACTGTGATAATCTTGTTAAATTTAGGGATAATGTATTTTTGAAGAGACATCTTAATAATAAAGAAGACACTTCTTTGAAAAAACAAAATCAGAATGAATTTTTTGAGGAAGGTAGTAACACTTTGGGTATATCTAATGGAATATATGAGGAGCCAGTGGTTGTCTTGACTCGACTACTTGAGGACATAGTGGAATCTCATTGTAGGCAAACAGAGATTGATAGCTTCAAACCCACTCTTGGAGACCAGCTGGTAGAGCAGTGTCTTCAGGTAATAATGAATGACGACGTGAAAAGCGATGTTCCCAAGGATGAGGGTGATGACGTGAGTCTCGATCTCGGTGTGCATCACAGTTCTGGCCTTCATGATTCGGATAGATATTCTGACCATGGTGTAAATAGGATCATTGACAATAAACATAAGAAGCCTTATACTGTTGGTTCGATCTCATGCCAGAATTATGTTGGCGTTGATACAAATTATTCGCATGGCATTAGATTAAGGGATATGAAATTTTTTACTTCGTTAAATTCTGGAAAATTATTAGACGACTCAAAGACTATTATTTCTAATAACAAAAATAAATATGGTGAGAGTGATTCGTGCAACATTTCTAGAGAATCTGTTATTACCAATTCCAGTGCTATTATTAATAAGGAAATAAATTTGATTGATTCATCGAAGCTTCATATTTGCAAGTCCCCTGAAACATGTGTCAAGATATTTTGTTCTTGTCTTGGGGAAAATTTTGAGCAGCAGCCTACACATTGCTCATGCAGGGATGTCTGCTCGAAAGCTTTCCCTAACAGATCTGAAAAAGATGGTAATAGTAAGCCAGGTGGAGATGACTCTGGCCTTTGTCTCGATCTGAGCTTCACAGGAATGCACACTGCACCACATCAGGTTAAATCCTCAAATTCCTCTGTGTATGCTCAAAGAGAATCCAGTCCTGCCAATGCCCACGAGAGTCGATCATCGGGCTACCATGTGAATATATCTCGGCGGAAGACTGAAAAATCCAGCTCAATTGAGGATTCCGAGATATGTTCTGAAAGCAATACATCAAAATTACGAAAGATCAAACTATCGGGTTTATCCAAAAGGGGCAGAATAGAATCAATTTTACGTAGAACTAATAGATTTTATTCTACCTTTAATGATTTTGATGGGGATAAAGATAGCCTAATAACAAATATTTGTGAGAAAAGAGGTCGGATTATAGTCGCTGGCGACGACAAAGAACACAATCAAAATGTACACTTGCCTGATGATATTTCTGGTCGCAACCATGGAAGAACTGTAGCTCAGTGCAAGGGAAACTATGAGAGCATTAGTGGCATGGGCTGTGAGGGAAGAGATGTAACTCTAAGTGCAGTTAGAAAGAATGGTGATCAGCAGGATCACCAACGATTAGTGCCTAATGCTCAAGAAAGGACAGTAGCCCGAGCAAAGTGGAAAGGTAATGACACTGATCATTCTCTGAATGAAGAAAGGCAACTGCAGCCTGATGGGTCTTTTGAAGGAGGTCAATTTCTAAAGCCAAGATTATCTATTACATGTGAAGATAAGGATCAGTCTACAAGTATAAAATTGGAAGATTTCAATGGATCCTCATCAGACGATCCTCATAAAAAATTGTCTCTTGGGAATGGGATTGTCAGCATGTCGGTAAAGAAACCAGTACCCTCGGTCAAGGTGAAGGAAATTTCTCACTTACGGAGGATCAGTCAGGCGGTACCGCCTCGTCCCATGTGTCCTCTTGTGGAAAAATCGACAAAGTTTTTTTCATCTCCCACAGTCAGTGTGTCTTACAAGTCTTATGTACCTGCTGAGGGCAGCATTGAGGAAAGGACTTGCGAATAGAAATCTTTTTGGAAAGCATCTCTTGGCGTGTGTCGAGAGCCGATGAAAGTTTGCCAGTTATTTTCAAGAGGCACTTCATTAATTGGAGATGGATATATAAACTGATGCAATAAATATTGTATATAATTTATCATTATTCATTATAATGACCCAAGTGCATTAATAAGTATGGGAATAATAATACCTGTCATATGTGCCCCTTGGCTGATACTGGCATCACCATTACTCGACTTAATGTCATTAAAATGTTTGCATTTCTTATCTGATTACTTTTGATTAACCAGTCATCATTTCTCATTTCTTAGGTCAAGTAGCAGATTCATTGATGTAAATTATTAGATAACTAATATGATATAAAACATACACCTCTTAGTTGGCGCCCTTCAAGTTGGGAATGCACTCCCCATACCAAAATTGGGAAATGTACTCGCCAAAAGGAGGAGGACCTCCCATGGCAAAAGAAGTACATTACAGATATTAGGATCTCCAGTTCAATTTTAATGCTTCATTATCTACGAGTAATGAGTATGTTACTTTGCAATCATTACGAGTAATGAGTATGTTACTTTGCAATCATTACGAGTAATGAGTATATTACTTTGCAATCATTGCAAGTTTTTCTTTAGAGTTCACTTGTTAATACTTACATCTTCCATATCTCTTCTGCTCTCGCACTCCCTTTTCATATTCATTACTGCTAAGTTTCATCACTTGTATCATCCGTCATGGTCACTTCCTCCTTTACTATTATACCGCTTAAATTTCATGGCATTCATTTTCTCCTTAATCATGCCATGGGCTTCATGGCATTCATATGATACTTTTTCAAATTCTAGGTAGGTCTTGCAGCTCCATCTCTCGACAATTCCTTAAAGCCATCACTCTGCTTATCCATCATTACTCAGCATTTCACATGTGGAATTCAGATTTATATTAAGGTATGGGCATTGTTGATTTTGAGTTTCACTATTTTTGTAATTATATTTTATGTTTTGTATATACAGTACTGTACATATATATTGTAGTTGTTAAAACTTTTTGTGATTTCCTAATATGCAGGATATATTTTTATAGAACCATAGTAGTAATTTAGAACTTGAAAACTAGACGACTTCCCCGTTCAATACTACAGTACGTAAACTTTCGTGATGGATTTGTTTACGTAAACTTTCATGGCAGATTTGTTTTGACTCTGTAGTATCAGATAGGAATATTTTTATGTTTTGGTGTACAGAGAAATAAATACTGCTAGATCTTGGAGTAACATTTGTTAAGGTGCTAAATGCGTAGTGCAATATATGATGTTAGCTCTAGTGTTTGAGGAATGAGTGACAGTACTCTTGACACAACATTTACTTTTTTATTCAGGAAGTTTGCTGCTCAAAAATTGTTCATGGCTTTTAAAAACTTCCAAATGAAGAAAATATGTTTTTGCTTGAGATATCTATTTAACGGAAGACTTGTCTAATGCCGACTGAAGCACACTTTTTGACATGTGAACTGTGTGGCTTGCCCGTATTGTCTGTCTTGGCCTGATTGTCATTGTGTATTGATCCTGCAATTGGCATTTATGCAGGATCCCTCGCAGATATTTTCTCTGAACACCTATTTATCCTACGTGATCTCGTGATGTAAAATGTATGCACCGTGACTACTACTTACAACAAAACACTGCTAACAAAATTTTGTCTTCAAATGTACCAATTCACATAAGAGCTGTAAATTAACTTTGTGTGTGTAATTACCTAAGTGTAGTTACAGGATGAAAGCTATGTTCGTGGTGTCCCACGGGACACACACACCAATGTGTGTGTGTAATATATATATCCACTTCGTAAACTTTTCTGATGCATTGAATGCATTCAAAGGAGCAGGTAACCAAATTTATAACACTCGACAAATCTCACAATTTTCATATGCAGCTCTCAAAGGTATAGAAAGAGTGAGTGCTACAAATTATGTATTTTTTTTATCCTGTACTTCAAAAGTACAGCATATTTTTACTTGTGTATTATGAAACTTGTCATGTAACTAAAATCCAAAATCTAGAAATGCCCCAAAAATACAAAGTATTAAAAATATTCTATTCTATTAATATTCATAAAATACCATTAATTCTGAAACAATTTTTTTCACTCATTTTAAAAAGTAATGTTCCTTCATCAAATTACTTTCCATGTATACTTGTAATTGTTTTGCTTGGCGAGTACAAAATAATAAGCCAATGGTTTTTAACTCTCTCCATCTCTATGTAATGTTGAAAATTAATAGTCAAGTATATATTATTGGGCTGTCAATGACCAATTAAACCCTCAGCCATAAGTTTGGCTAGAATGGGGAATAAGAGTAGTGTGTAAATACTCAATGAGCCTAGTGTCCAATAATGTTTGATTTTAGATACTTGACTGTACTGGAAGACTTGCCTTTTACTGTATTTGCTGACAAAGCTAAACGTGTACAAAAGGCAGTGAAACAGTATTGGGTTTATAATATATTTTGGCATACAATAAGAGAATATAGGTAGCAGATACAGTGGAATGGAGCGGTGAGTAAATGGTTTAATCTGTAAGAATATCTGATGCAGTGAAACGAGTGTAGGAGTTCATACTTGTGCTGTGTCCACGTCGTTTAAATTTATTTTGCCACCGTCGTGCACCAACTTTCCTCACCATGCTATAACTATACTGTGTTTATATTGGGAACTATTGCAAGTATGCACTTTAGTTCAGAAATGACTTTTGAAAAAGAATAAAATAATTTTAAAGGAAGGGAATAAAAAAATTATGTAACCAAGCACAGCATAGGCTTTAGGTTTCGATTCCTTCCTTTCCCCTCCTCCCCTCCTTTAAACTCCTTTCTAAACACCACTACCCCTACCACTAAAATCTCTCTTTTTGCAGACTGATGTTTACTCTCTTGTTGGTAAAAATGCTTCACATTGCCTCAACCCATGTCCACAAACATACACTCCAACACCAAACACTATCACACCACTACACAGCACCACCACCACACAGCACCACACCCACCATCATACACCACCACCATACACCACCACCATACACCACCACAGCACCACCACCACCACAGCACCACCACCACCACCACCACAGCACCACCACCACCACACCACCACAACACCACCACCACAGCACCACCACCACAGCACCACCACCACCACAGCACCACCACCACCACAGCACCACCACCACCACAGCACCACCACCACCACAGCACCACCACCACCACAGCACCACCACCACAGCACCACCACAGCACCACCACCACCACAGCACCACCACCACCACCACAGCACCACCACCACCACAGCACCACCACCACCACAGCACCACCACCACAGCACCACCACCACCACCACAGCACCACCACCACCACCACAGCACCACCACCACCACCACAGCACCACCACCACCACCGCAGCACCACCACAGCACCACCACCACGGCACACCCACCACCACGGCACACCCACCGCCACGGCACACCCACCGCCACCACCACGGCACACCCACCGCCACCACCACGGCACACCCACCGCCACCACCACGGCACACCCACCGCCACCACCACGGCACACCCACCGCCACAGCACCACCACAGCACACTACCACTACACACTACCACTACACACTACCACATACACTAGACATGAGCTTATAGCTAAGTGACTGTACATTCAGGAAGACTAGCAAATGGATGTCCATGCATACAGTGTCACTATTGTAGCATACAACAAAAATTAGACCCCTCGGTGTAATAAAGATGCAAGTACAAACGTAATGAGGAGTGCCGTTGTAGATTTTAATTTCGGTGTTTTCTTAATGAAACTCTAACTGAAGACTTATATTGCAATATTTCATAATGAACTTGTGTAAAAAAAAAAGTCTTCCTACATTATTTATAACCTCCTACATTATTGTATTCTGAAATTCACACATTTAAGCATTTTTGTATTTTTCTCAAGCTGGTGTGTAAAAGTGCTGGTACTTTCTTTTTCTACACAGTTTAGAGATGGTCAGTGGCAGGGAAAGAACCCGAGCCTGTAAGGCACAAGTAGGATATAGGCAAGTAGGTAGACCTCGTCAGTTGGTCACACATTCAATAATTTAGAGAAGTTGGACGTAATATCGACTTCTTTTGTGATTTAATAATCTTTTGTTTTGTGTTTTTATGTTCACTGACCAGTGAGTATCTTATAGAATGTTTTATGTATATTATGCTCGTTATTTTCTCAGGCTTTATTTAATACTGCTGTATAGACTTTAGGAATCAGTCCTCAGATTGTGAAGGGAATGTTTTATTATTACTACTACTAAATTTGTCATGTGGCAAATAAATTATTCAAATATTTAATAATCAGCATTGTGTATTATTTGGTAAACCACCTTCTCTTTGTGTACCAAATGATACCTTGAGGTTACCTTGAGGGGATTCTGGGGCTTGGCAACCCCGCGGCCCGGTCGTCGACCAGGCCTCCTCGTTGCTGGACTGGTCAACCAGGCTGGTGGACGTGGCTATTCGCAGCCTGACATATGACGTATGAGTCAGGCTGCGATAAGGTGTGTATGTGTAGTGTCAATCAATTGGAAATCTGTATTTGCAAGTGGGTCAAGATTTGTAATGCAATATTTATTTTCTTTGGATTTTAACTTTAATGACTTAAACCATTCTTTCAAGTTCATATGGTTAACCCTTAAACTGCGCATGGTGTATATGTACGACAGGGCCCGATGGCACCATAAGTTAAATTTTTCAAACTTGTTCGAACGATTTTAAATTTTTTGTGCATAATCTACTGGGGAAACGCTCCAACTTTATCTAAATGTTCATCAACATAACTTGAAAAACAAGAAAATTAAAAATAATTATAAAATTTAATATTGAAAATTTCAGATTTTCAGTTCAGCTGCAAAAATATTAAATACCACCAATTGTTCATTAAATGTTATGCTCTGAGAATAGTATATGATCTTCATTTTAATAGATTTAGAATATAGATTTTCAGTTTAGTTTACTGTAAAAAAAATCAATATGGCATTTGAAATGTGCACCAAATTCAGACAACAAAATTTATAACTCAATTTATAACTCAAAATGTTTAGAGTTTATGAAATATCCATTCTAATAGGATTGTAGAATAGACAACGGCGTACACTATATGTAAAAATGGTGAGAATCGGTCAAACTGAATTTTTTCAAGCTGACTCAATGTTGAAAAATTAGTTTTAGAGATACTGTACTGTAATTGAAGTTATCGACAATGTATAAGGTTCTAATTCAATAATTTACTTGTATGTTTTAATAATCATTGTTTGGCATTCGTACTCGAATATGTAAAAGTTGTAGGTCAATGTGTGTTGAAGTCTAGAAAAAAATACCCCCCCCCCCCAAAAACAAAACATAGGGATAATTATAATGATTTAGGGGATATATTTAGGGTATACTTTATATTAGTCAAAAAACCCTAATCATTATAATAATCTAAAGAAAAATAGAGTTTGAAATCTGTGAAAAAATCAGCCAAAAAAATTTATAGTTCTAAGTATTGCCAGTTATGACTGATTTATTTGTTGACCAATTTAATTCTTTCTTCACATAGTTATGGAAAAGTATGCATTCTTTCGGATGTAAAGGTTACAACAAAATCAGATAAAAACAAAGAAGAAAAAACAGCAAAAAGAAAAAAAATTGTGGACATTGATGAAAGTAACGTTCTTCTTTTAAAAAAATTGTCTTGAAATCCATTTCTGAAAATATTGGGATGAAACTTTCACGTTGCTGAAGCCAATAAGTTTGAGATTTATGATTTAATATTAATTTTCACATAATTCAAATATATTTTCACCCAGCCCCAGTGCAACCCGTTCTCGCACTTTCGTATAGTCAATATTGACTTATTAAATACGTGCATATGTGACATACTAATTTATTGTGACTATTTTAGTTTACCTTGAAAAGCTTCATAGAAAACACTGACCTTACCTAACCTTCTTAGTATGTTAAGATAAGCATTTTATTGCTTTGTAATTACAATTATTACTTAAACTATTATAGGTATAGTTTAAGTAATAATTGTAATTACGAAGCAATAAGATGCTTATCTTAATATACTAAGAAGGTTGGGTAAGGTCGGTGTTTTCTATGAAGCTTTTCAAGGTAAACTAAAATAGTCACAATAAATTAGTATGTCATATATGCACTTATTTAATAAGTCAATATTGACTAAGAAAGTGCGAGAACGGGTTGCCCAGCGTATTTTACGAGCTACGCTATGAGACCAACGTGATCACGCTACGCTCCTCACTCTAAGCTGTATATCAGCCCTTATACTATTGCCAGATGATGTAGACCGCCACCCACAGGCAGCTAAGTACATGGAGTCCTAGCATGTTATAGCAAAACCAAAGTAACCGACCAAAATCAACTCATTCCATCTCAATTAAGTTTCAAAACATTCCTCTACGGCTGTGAGTACCAGTGCATGCTGCCACCACCGCGCTGCCTGACGCAAGTTTCTTCACAATATATACCCCCAGTCCATTCTAACCAATCATGTCTCCTAAACATGGGGCTGTGCAGAGAAAGAAGGACAACAAACCCCTTAACAAGGCAACCATCCCGGCCAACTCAAACAATATTCGTGTTTCTCCGTCTGGAAGCTCTGGGGTCCAGGGCAGCGGTGCTGCCCTCCCCTCCACCCCTTTGAGCAAGGGAGCAGAGACATCTCAACCCTCTCCTATGGACATGCTAGCATCCCACTATAAGCAACTCAAGCGAGCTTCCGGTCCCTCGCCGGAATTCTATAACTGGGCCGAAAATCAGTGGTTCAAAAAGTTGTGCCAAGTCCTCGAGTCTCAAAATGCTATCATCTTGAGTCTTCTAAATGAGAATCTAGCGATCCGCGCTAATCTCCAACAACAACAACAACAAGAAATAACCCTCCTCCGCGAGGAAATTAGAAACTGCAAGGCAAGCCAAGACCAACTACAGCATGATTTAAATGATCTCCGTGAGGAAAGCAACCTTCTGAAAACTGATGAAGCCATTAAAAAACAGGAGGAAGCTCTCAACAAAATGACTGCATGTATCAGTACATTTTCAGCCCAGCGTTCTGTCTCCCAGGATGAACAAGACCAGCAAAAGCTGCTAGACTCTGTTATAGTGTCGTCCCAAGATATACCTGTGGAACATGAAGGTGATAACTGTGTCGAAATAGCTCTGGATCTCTTAAAAGACAAATTGCAGCTCATTCTAAACAAATCTGACGTTATTGCTGCCTACAGAGTAGGCAAAAAGAATCCATCAGGTCAAAACCAACGGAAAATTCGCCTGAAGCTGTCTTCCCAGTTCACGAAATCCAATCTAGTCCGGACAGCTGTAGCCTAACGGAAGGGATTATACATCAACGAGTGCTTGACTAGGAACAGACAGCACCTCCTCTACCGCCTGCGTCAAATCCGTCAAAAAAACCCAGATGCGATACATCAGTGCTTCGTTAGAGATGGACTGATAAAGGTGAGAAAAACCGCAGAGGGCAAAATGTTCACAATTACTAAAGAAGAGAACCTCAACGCTTTCCTCTCCCAATGTGGTCTGTCTCAGCTCATTATCACTCCCAGTGAATTAACTTAATTAACCCCCTGTCAACTAGTGGGGTTAGGTTTCCTAAGTCTCATAGTTTCATTTTCTGACTTAATTTTTAACTTACTCTTAACTAGTCATTTACTGAAATTATTTAATTGAGTGCATAAATAGTTCTTCAGGTCTTATTAATTATACAGTCATAACTGAACTATTTATAGTTAATAATCATTAGCTTAAATTTGCCTATGCTTATTATTCGACTTTTCTTTGATTCCATTTATTACCTAGGTTGCCTAGCCTCGCCATGCTCCCTTACTCCATTGTACCCCTGGCTTTGCCTGCATCTCAAATTGCAAA